TCAACGGGTGAGAATGATGAATATTACATAACATGGGTAACAGTTTATCTTGTTCATTCTGGAGTAACTTTATAAGAGATGTATACATCTAATTGAAGTATATAAACTATATACATAATTATAAACATGCCAGTAGGGCAAGGGACAACAGTTAAAGCAATAAACTAGAGGGCTATTGATATGACTAAGCAATGTATATACCCAATAGCAAAAGCACCATGAGCAGTACAAGAGATACCAGTACAGGCCGGAACTATTAAACCGAGGATTTGGGGAAATCCAAATTTGAAAAGCAATACATGACCAGAGCATAACCACAAGTGCCAACAGATCATGGACAACACCAATTCCATCCAGACTAGTCCATAAGCTAATGCTATATTTGGAGTGCCAAACGATGACCAACTACCCCAATGGGCACAACAGTGGAATATTTCTAAATCTAGCATCGCACTAACTAAATGAGCACATTCCAAAATGTAGCCATGGCACCATAGCCACAAACCACCTAGCATACCACAAGGAAATCCTCTGAGGAGATGGAGCTCACCGAGCACGAGCAGGGTGTGGTAGTTGAAGCAGAATGCAACCACTCGGCAGTCTTGGTGAGGTCAACCACCACCGTCCCATTGGCGAGGAGCATCTAAAATTAGGCCATCCGGCATGATTTTGGCGTAGCAATGGCACCGGACACTACAAGGGAAAACCCTAGTAGTAGTGCGGGATGAAAGCCTACAATTAGCACTGGTTCTGTGCTACTGGTACGATGCTACATCTATTATTACTTAGTAGTAGCGTTGGTTCAACAGCGCTACTGCTACCCCTACCTAGCAGTAGCGTGGGTCCAACCTGCGCTAGTGCTAGCCCTACCTAGCAGTAGTGTGGGTACAACCAGCGCTACTGCTACAATTTTCTATATTTTTATTTTCTTTTGCGTATTTGGGTTGTATTTGTACAGATTTTATACAGTAGTCTCATCATAGATTTTATGATCATGATGAGTTATTATATCATTGGATGAAAGAATCATGGATTAGATTCAAGTGGATGGATCAAAAGTGACCAAGTCGGATCCAAAGTCATCGTCCTACTAATCCTACCAATCCAATTTGGTCAATTTGGATCCATCCACTTGAATCTAATCGGCGTTTCTTTCATCCAGTGATATAATAACTCATCATGATTACAATAACAACTCGTCATCATCATCATCATCATCATCATCATCATCATCATCATCATCATAGTCATAGTCATAACAACTCCTCCTCATCATGATCTATGAATCATATAACAACTCATCATTCTAGCTAACACTATATATTACATAACTCATCATCATAATAATAACAACTAATCATCATCATAGTCATAATCAACACTAACTAATTGTTCTTACTATCTAGGACCTGCTCCTCTCTCCAAGGTAAAATAGCATAATTAAAGCAGGTAAACCAGTCCATCTCCAAAATGGAGAATGGAGATCCACCTGTCGCCAACTTCTGACTTGCACACACGCATGTTGTCTCCAATCGGTTGCGTGCATGCCTTCATTACTTTGCTCCATTCTTTGATATTGAGGCTTCCATCTTTCAATGAAACAGAGTATGCACTTTGGTAAGCCGTCGGTGGAAAGGGTCGTAAGCTAACCATGTACATACTCTCTTCGGTAAGCATCATGTGAGGCACAACCTCGCTTGGGAGCTTCTGTTGAACAACATAGTAACATATATAGTTAGCAATGTAGTTTACTTAAGAAGAATGTATGCAATGAAGTTACCATCATTAACAAAATCATACCAAGTTTTTGACAATGAAGTTACCATCATGCAACTGATGGACTAGTGGCACGTATCCAATATAATTTGGGTTGATAAAATGATTGATCTTAAAAGTGTCAACATCATCTATAAATGAGACAAGATATCATTTCTCCTCACAATTAAGCTCGGAACCACAGCTGTAATACGTCATGTCCATAGCTTTCTGAGTATTTCTTGAAGATAAGAAATAAGCTGACAATTAAAAATAAACAAGTTAGTAACTATGAAGACCAAATATTTTTAAATAAAAAAATATAAATTACTTAACAAATTAGTTTGACAAACTTACATTTAGGCAAAACAGCAGGCATATCCACATTGACCCAAATGTCAATAGTATCTTCAATATCTTCATCTTGGGGACGAATATCAAAGGTTATTTGCATATTCTCCGCAAATCCATAGGCCTTGCAGAGAGCTCCCCAATTTGAGCAAGCAAAATGGGAGTGATTAAGCGCATTGTAGAGCTTAACTTGAAAAGCATAACTATGTTTAGTCCTGAGGTGAGCTCTCCTCGTCTCCATATTCTCAAAGTCTTGGAAACCAAGCTTCTCCAATACATAAGGTCTTGCATGCCAGGGGATGTACTAGTCGAATTGGAAAAAAAATAGAAATTACACGTTGAAACAAAGAATCACAAGTCATGATTAATTATGAAGAAATACTTGTCGTCCCTGCGTACCGTACAAACATCGAAAGTCTCTTCCAGCTTGATGGTGAAGAACCTACCATTTTGCAGGTGAGGCATCATGTCGCACATACCCTGGTAATCGTAGCAGTATTCACACTCCGGGATCCTATCATCGTCAAACATTTCCTATGTTCAAAATTCATAGATTATAAATTGACGGCAATTACCAGGAACTCAACACACAGATCACTATTCACCATGGGTTGACTTTCGGTCTGTCGAGACTTTCCTTGAAAACTCTCATCTCACGTGGTGTATATGGTGGGCACTCCCACTACTAGAAAAATGACTTAGTGGCGCACCTATTTTAGCCATTAATGGCGCACTATAAATGCGTCACTATTACCACCCCACACAGATCACTATTCACCATGGGTAATAGTGGCGCACCTTGTAGTGCGCCATTACTATTGCTACAGGTGTGCCACTGGTAACTTTTTTTAAATTTTTTTTTATTTTGAAGGCCGGAAAATAGTAGTGGCGCACCGTCTAACCCCCACCGTGCGCCATTGCTATTTTTGAATTTTGAATTTGGATTTGGATCTAGATCTGACTCATTTTTTGGCTTTTTTTTGCTCGTTTTTTTTTGCTTGAATTTTTTTCAAATTTCGTTCTCGACCTGGATCTGGTACGTTCTTTGTGCCGAGGGAGCTCCACATGAGGCCGGAAGTAGAGGAGGGAGGAGAGACCGTGAGGATCAGGAGAGGAGGGAGGAGGAGGTCGCCGGAGAGGAGGAG